TAATCTGAAGTAATTTATTTTTGTCTATTTAGACACTATTCCAAGAAGTTAGTCATATGTTTTACTATTCCACCAAAAAGGACAATAGCAAAAAAAAAAAAAAAATGGTTAAGAACCCCTGAACTAAAACATTCAAATGAGATCCTTGCTGGCTTCACTGTTGAACCACACAGGGATAAGGCTGACCTCCCTTTCATGATATTCTGTATTTGTTTTCAGAATTCCTAGGAATGGGGAAATCTGGAGTGCTGTTCTTCTAAATGCTATCGTCTATATATTAAAATCTTGTCTTTACTTTTTTTAAATTTTTAGCCCTCTGAATTACTCTTGAGCGTAAATATATTTTTTCCTAAGGATGCTAGATTTAGCAAGCAAAAATATAGAACCACTGTGCTATTTATATCTTTCTCTACATGCAGTGCATATATATAGGTGTAGAAAGTCCATATATAACTCTGTATTTTAGATAAACAATAATTTTTAGCATAGGCATGTATCAAATATTGCCTGTAGTATTCTTATACTAAAAATTATTTGCTGTCCATCTGAACTGCAAGTTTAACTGGGCATCTTGTATCATACCTGGCAACACATAATACCATCAAAACTGGGCCAGTGACCCTCCAGCTAATCAAGTGCAGACGGCAGGAATGTGCTTTCTTACCCTGTTTACTGCTGGAGATTAGTGAGCTGCCACAGGTCTAAGACTTTGATTGAATGTGAAGGCATTTTGAAATTTAAGAACGTCTTACTATCACTCAGAGATCACAAGAGTCTGTTTTCAACCTTGAGTAAAGCAAATACCTCGGAAATATTACCGGTCCTTAAAGTAAGTTGAGCATAATGCAAGAATTTTGGTAGTTGCTGTGTTCCCCTGGGATCCTGCGAGATCCAGTTTCTGTATCAAAGAAACGTGGTCCAAGTGTAGGCTGACAGTGAGACTAGATTGTGAAACTTTTGACACTCATCCCGGGGTTAAACAGCTTGGTTCCAAATCAAGCAAGAGTTGTAATTTCCTTTGTCTGGCAGAAGAGTCCCATTAGGATAACAATGAACATGAAAAATCAACAAGAAGAATTCTACCCTATCTGCAGGTGAATAGCACTAAAGCCCATCAATCATCAGTTAAACCGTACAGCCAGACCATTCCAAATGTATTTTAAACAAACGGAAAAGTAGCCAGCATGAAGCCAGGAAAACAAGCTAGCCTGAAATCAGTACCTATATTTAAAAGGTGTTTTTGCCTTTCTATACTCTCATTCACACCAAAAATGTGAGCATGAGGCAAAGAAATATACATGTGAGGGTTGAAAGATGCTAAGCTCAGTGGCTGCAAGACAGAAATTCATTGAGGGGAACATCAGTTTGAAGGGTTGCCAATTATATAATGGTACATCATAAAAAGGCAAAGCAACTCCCCAGATCCTAGGAAGAGAGGAGTTAAAGCAAACAATCATCCTCGCTTGCTGCCTGCTCATCCTGTTCTGTTCTGCATGCTCCAACTACGCCCAGCCCCTGCCAGGGCTGTCTGCAGAAACATGCCTTCCAACCTGATGTATTCCAGGTTACAGTCAAACCAGCCCGAATGCTCTACATTTCCTCTTCCTTAACCAAATGGAACTGCTCTGAGCCATCTTCGTCTCTGCGTTTGTATTAATCTAGACAAGAATAGCAGCTGACATTCCACAAGCCAGTTGTAGAAATCTATTCCCTGAAGAGAACATTTGGGGCAGTACTCTTGGGAACCTAACGCAATACCATTCACTTTTCTTCTTCCCCCTAGACATAAATTTTCCTGTTTTACCAGTCATCTCACAACAATGCATGTCCAAGCCATGCTGTGATTAAAGGGAGAATATGCTTATTACCCAAGTTCTTCACATGTTGGAGCAAGAGAGATCCAGGGTGGTAAACCAAAGGAAATTTCCATTTGCTCTTAGCTGCTGCACATTCTTACTCTATAGGAAAGTTAGCTATTATTAAGTAATAGTGTTCAGCTGAAGTTGGTCACTCATAACAACAGACAGATGTATAATGTTTTATTTGGGTTAAGCCAACTCCCTTGCAAATAAAGGACCTGAAATTAAACTGTCTTTACAAAAATATTCAGCAAATGATACCTCTGACTTCTTCCAGTGCTCAGTTTCTTTGCCATGGAAAATGGAAAATGAGTCTCCCATTGAACCCAGTATCTGTTTAAACTTGTCTTTGCTGAGTGGAGGAAAGTTAGTGTTCTATGGAACCGAAAAAAAAAAAAAAAATTAAGAAAGAATCTGCATGCAGGAGTCAAGGGTATAACTATGCAGACCACATTTAGGGATGGAAAATGGTTTTTTTTCAGTACTTATGGAATTTGAAACAATAATAATGGAATGGAAACATAGAAAAAAGGCTAAATATTTGACCACGGAGGCAAATTGGATCATTAGATGCTCACAAGCAATGCAAATGTGGGATATTTCTCTAAAGGAATACTTGTTGCTTTTCCAATGTATAATAGCTCTCCAGTCCACTGAGCCACTGCAAACCCTGGCCACACAATCATTTCAGAAATAGAGTTCTTTTTAAGACGCCACCTCTTAGGAGACACCGCCCCCCATTCTAGTTCAGTAGCTCAGGCACAGGGCCTGAGAATATGCATTCCTCAAGAGCTCTCCCAGGCCAAGCTGATGCTAAGGCTGAGTGCAGGGAGGGAGCCATGCCCCTTGACCTTCCCTGTCTTTGGCATCCAGTGAGATGCAGAGCTCATCCTGAGATACTTCCTGACAATGATAGTGAAGACAGACATCTGCCCATAGAAAAGACCACAAATCACAAAAGCTGCTTTCCAGCCCTAACCTGTAGTAGATCAATAACCTTACACAAATTGCTCAAGGTTTTGGAACCTCTTTCTCCCCATACCTAGACAGCAGGTTTAGACAAGATTGGTCCCTCTCAAAGAGTTTCCTAATGGCCTATTAGGGGCAGATAACCTGGTGTGCTTATGCAGATCTCTCAGCATAGGACTTCTCACAATCTCTAGCATCCAAATGCACAGTGTAGATCTATAGGGGGTGGCATGTTTGGGGGTTCATAGGCAAGCTTTCCAGAATTGTGTGACTCCTTTGAATTGTGTTTCATCAGTACTGCACTCCTGGGAGACGACCCCATGCCCTCTAGGTCTTCCAACATTCTTGGCCAGTGCGATACTGAAATTATTCCAATGTGACACCCACTACCAAAGAAAGAAACCCACACAACTTCAACTGATTGCTACCCTACTGATCAGAAACCCTCAATTTTTTTTTATAGGACAGTATTAGTATTCCTGAACTCTTATTCCTTAGGAAATCATCCTGGATACCTGAAAATTCTACCTAGAATCTCCCCTACTTGTAGATGTTATCTCATAGATTTTCTTCTCCTTCTGGGCCATAGCCCCATTCCTACATATTTGGTCATTTTCTCCATATTCTCTGTAACCCAGTAAGTGAGGAATGGTGTTGACTATGGCTTTCAAAGTGTGGTCTCATGCTCCTAGCATCAGTGCCTCCAAGGAGGCACTTGTACACTGTCCAGCCTCCATGTGGTTCTGATGGTGCCTGTGGCTGGAGAGCAAGTGTTGAAGACATCAGGCGGAGCTACTGACACAGGCAGGCACATCACAGCATCCTTATCTGGAATACTGCATGATAATAGAGTCTATTTAAGAACCTGCTTGAACATTAAATTAATATATAACATCTTGTATAAGGCCTGGCATAGGAGAAACAGTGAATCCATTATAGCTAGTTATTCTGTAGTGGATGCGAACATCACGTGAGCAGGAACTTATTATACACCTCATCACACTGCATGGTGATGGTGTGCAGATTGGAGCATAACTCTGGAGGCAGACAGATCTGGCTTGCTAAGTCTTACACATATTAGCTTTATGAGCATGTGTGACTTATTTAATCACTTTACGCTTAATTTCCTCCTTTGGAACACAGAAAAATTTCTTTCTTCACAAGGTAAAGAGAAAGATTAAATAAAATAATGTCTGTCACTGCTTTGGAAGGTACCCAGTTCCTTTGAGCCCCTTCCCACCCACACAGTGAGAGCTAGCAATGATAAAAAGGTGATACCCCTAGACTGCAGATCATGAAGCTCTCAGATCTGTGATCCAGGGGGCCCACAAGTCCTCAAAACATTAGACTGATGGGTAAGATGCACTGATAGTGTTCTCTGAAAAGTTATCTTGATAGATTTAAAGGTTCACTTGTCGGTAATTTAATGAGAACTGGTCACCTTTTGTAGGATGTTGTCCAGCATCAGGGAAGTCTTTCTTCCTGCTCAAATCTTGTTAGATTTGGATTCTTTCTCAGTTGAGTGTCTTGACATAGATCAGCATTTGGAGTTTACTTTAGGAGTGTTTCAGGACTTTATACCTTTCCTTTAATTCATATGTCAGATGAGGAGCATAATCTAAGACAAAAAAGCATGGAGTAAGGGCCTCTCCATGGCCAGGGTGTCGGTAGGTTTTGCCTTGATGACAAGTTCTGGACAAACTCCCAGAACTTTGTGACACACAGCAACAAGAATATTCTCACCTGTTATAAGTTTTGGGGTTGAACTGGAAGTTGGCTGCAAGTGTTCCCTCCTCCCACTTGCCTGAGCAGTGAATAGCCCCTTCTAACATCTACCTGGGAGTGCTGGCCAACTCAGAAGACAGCCCAATGCCTGTGATCAGGGGTGGCTTAAGTCATACCCCCTCACACGCCATTGGCCAGAGAAAATCACATGGCCACTCCTGAAACAGGAAGTGGAAACAGTCCCCCAGGAGACAGAGCCAGGGAAAGATCCTGTATCCCAGGATCCAGTAGAGAGGTGCACTGAACAGCCAGAGCTCATACAACCAACCCCAACACTCCCAAACTTACCTATTAGGCTCAGAACTCACATCTTCAAAACCTACATTGTTAAGATGGAGGAAGCCAGCTCGCAAATGTACCAACACCTCACCTTGCTCTTTCTTTCAGTCCCTACGAGCCTCACGTACAATTCCTCAGCCTCCAAGAAGCCATCATTCTTCCCTGCCATTCTTCCTCCTCAGTGTCTGAGGGTAAAAAGAAAGTATGAGGAAGGAAAGTGAAATGTGGCCAAGAGCTAAGGACTAAAGGACCACTTTTTGGAATCTGCGGAGGGTCAACTTCCACCTCCTTGTATTCATTTCTGCGATCGCTTGAGCAAAGCCAATTTGGCCCTCAGCTGGCATCGTCAAGGTCAAGAATGGGATTCAGACCTGTCAGAGCAGACTTTGAAGGAAATCATGGATTGCTTTAAGAGCAAGAAAGAGTCTGGCACACGGCCAAAACCGAAGTGTCCCGTGCAGTGCAGGTGACTGTGTGACTGCCACAACAAGGTCCAGAGGAGGACAGCTAAGCATCGCTGGTTTCATTTTCAATTAAACTTTCTGAGCTCGGTGAACCCCGAGTAGATTCTTGTCAAGCGTTTTTCCCACTTAATATTTAAACCTGTGTATACTTAAAGTGAAATTTAATCCAGGTATTTGGAGTCTGTAGAGAAAGAGAGAGATCATCAAAAAACTGATGTGTCTGAGATACTGGCTGTGTAAGAAAGCTTTTAAGGCAACTTGTCTTACAAACAGGAAGTTATGTTTTGTCAGAGCTTTAAAGTCAGCTTCTCCACTTCTAATTTTAGTCTGGAAAAGCAAAGTTATGATTTGATTTGGAGTTCATTCCTTCATGCCTACCAGCCCTTTTGAAAGTATATGCTGCGGGGTCACCTGAGACTCTGTGGAGAAAATTCTCCTTGGGAACCAGTGCTTCTCTGCTTTTCCCTGTAAGTGAAAAGAAAATATTTTTCTGCTTTGTTCTTCTGCTGCAGATCACAGAATGAAGTTCATTCAGGATGCGCCAGTTGTAAACTCCCAAAATTTGACTCAATAAGTCTAAGACATTAGAAGGTCTCAAGGTTGTACTAACTAAAAAGGGGGAAAAGCCATCCCTAAAGCACTTATTTTTCTTAAGAAAGCACTTATGTGACAAGTGACATTTTTGAGACCTAGGAAAAAATGTCCTGTGTAAATACAAGTTTACTGGCAAGAGGCACATGTGAAAATCCATCATAGGAATTAAAGATTTTAGCTAATTATTAGCTCAGATAATTTCTATTGCATTACAATACATATTTAACAAAATATAAATATCATCCTACTTATGCATTTAGTATAAATTCAATAATATGTAATAATCCTATATTGTATAACACATAATATTTAAATAACATTAATATATGAATGTTGCAGTTTTGATTAAATTCTCCAGGTGCTCCTCCTTCAATAATGTCACACCTATCCTTGGGCCACTGGGTGGATGGCACTTGTCTATAAGGACAGGAGAGTTGGATGCCCCTGTAGATGACAAGCAGTGTTGCCGGGGCCTGTGTGCACTAGTATTATTTCAGGGAGCTAAGGGGAAGTGAGAGGGCAAGGGCCTTCTCCAAAGCGCCAAAGCAGCATGTCCCCACGTGGTGGTCTCAGGTGTATCCCAAGCAGGAGCAAGGATGTCCGCTGGGAATGCATTAAGCCATGCACCTTTGGGCTCCACTCTGGCCTGCTGCTTGAGAAATGCCCCCTTCAGGAGTCCCCCTGATGCAGTTGAGTCTGCAGAACTTCTGTCAGGGTAGGTGTGGCATGGGCACGGTGCCTTGGGAGCAGGGGACCTCTCTTGCCCTCTGTGCCTCAGTGGCTCCTCACAGGGTTGATGGTGGTGCCACCTCGCTGTGAGGGTTAACATAGTTCAGGTGGCTGGCACACCTACTTATGATGGTTGTCGTTACTATTATTAATTACCTGAGTCTTTCTGATACGATTATTTTCTGTTGTTTTTGTTGATCTGCTCCTTCCCCCGTTGGATCACTGCTGGCTCTGTTCTGACTCTACTCCTGTGTATCACTCACTGCTGTGTTCCTTCTAGTCGGTCTGCTGCTCTCTGACCACTTCCAGGATGATTTCTTTCTGGCAGCTGGTCTCTTTGATCTTCTGTTTTTACAAGAACTTCTCCTTTGGGTAGAATTTTTTTCTTTCCTGAAGATGTAATGGGAACTCCTTTTCCATTTCCCCACCATCCGTTGTTTTGTCCCCACCACTGGAAGTGTAACAAACTACCTTTTACTTGTGCCTACTGCTTGGCTCCATTTCAAAAATGTGCTTGTTTCCCTTATCTCCAAAAGACAAATGTCACATCATATAAGCATGAAAAATAAACACAAAGCAGCATGAGGACTCCGTGATGTCAAGACTGTGACTTTTAATGCTTTAAAGGAGGAAAGGGCAGAACTGATCTCTCCGATAGTTTCAAGGACCTCAATAAAGATATCGCCATCCTGAGAATGACAATCCCAGCCCACAAGCTGAAACACAGAACAAAATGTGGAGAAATGAATACTATTTCCAGAGACCAGAGACGAAAGAAAATGCTTGAGTTTTGCGTGACATACTACTTATCTAGAGAAATAAGAGAGGGAGAATTAGATGTGAATATCCTTTTATCGTTGTGCCCATAATGAACATTTGGGAAATTGTGCTTGTCTCTTAACAATTTTTTTTTTTTTTTCCTCTGGTATGAGGAACCGAACTCACGACCTTGCGCTTGCCAGGCAGGCACTTTTGCCGCTGAGCTAAATCCCCAACCCCTTCTTAACATTTTAGAAGTTAAACCAGGTGGGTTTGCTGAATCACTTAGTGGAAGAAAAGCTAAGGGAAATTATGTGAAATACGCAGATCAACAAAGAAGTAGATTTCTTGAAAGCAGGGTGCTAAGGAATGAAGCCCTATGCATTAAGAGTATAGGGAAGTGTAAATACTATGAGGCAGATGGTAAATTTGATGGATGCAAAAGAGATTCTGAGTCTTAATAGAGCAAAGAAGAAGAGATTGTGTGTCAAAGAAACCGTGGCCACGCTGGGATCTGACCTGTAGGAGGCTGCCCAATTTGATAACTGGCAATGTGCTAACTGTAAAACAGTAATGATTCTAAATAAGTAGTGAACCAGTAAATAAATATGAAGTATATGGGTACCTGGCTTCGTGACACAGAAGAAAAAGTGTGGAATGGATAGGAAGACAGAGAGAGAGAGAGAAGTAGGTAGATAGAACAGATGATAGGAAAATAGATGATATATGAAAAAATAGGTTGTTTGACCAGTGATAGAGAGACAATAATCAATAGCTGAGAGTAGATTAAAGACAAAAAGTGACAAGCGATAAACATAGATGGATATAGATGATAGGTAACAGATTGGTAAGAGAGAGGTAATTTATTGATCCATGATCTATATGGAGACAGGCAGATGACAGATAGATGATGGATAGATAGATAGATAGATAGATAGATAGATAGTTAGATAGATGACAGATGATAGATAGATAGGTGATAGAAAGACAGACAGACAGATATATAGATGAAGAAGTATTTCAAAAGAAATAGGGTGCAAAGAACCTCTTGAATTTAGAGCAGATTTCACGAGAGGCCCGGAAGGCCGGGGAGATTCCGGGCATGCTGATAAGCCCCCAGCCTGACTTCCAAAGCCTTCGGGGCTGCTTCCTTCTTGGGCACCCAGCCCCACGACCAAGCATGTCCCTGGGCACAGCCAGGCTTCGGTCCGCTCCTCCTTGAGGTGTGTGTCAGATGAGATGGGTCTGACAATCTTTTCCACTCTAACGCAGGGCGACTGCGATGACTCAACAATAGTAATGCATTTCCACAGGCGGTAAAACTATTCTAGACTCTTCCCTCACAGCGCTCACTGTTTACTTCCTCCACGTTTCCCCTTCCTGCCTCCCTGCGCGGCTGCTCCGCTCCCTGGGCCTGGCTGGGGGTGGGTTAACCCTCTGTTTCCAGCTGGTTTGCCAATGAGCTCCCTCCAGGCCTGGGGGTTCTGGAATGAGGGCCGTGGTGTGGCTTCACTTTAATTCTTGGAACTTTCCTTGAGTTTTTACCCTGATCTGGGCACGGTGCCAGATGACTGACCGGGGCACAAGGTAAATGCCACAGCGAGAGCCCTGGGGGAGTCTTTAGGGGCCAGTGTCTCTGGGTGCGCTGAGTAACCACCTGTGGACAACACGTGTCCCTCTCTCTTTCAGGCACTAGCACAGTCCCATGGTAGCCAGGTGGGTGAAGGGGAGCGAGGACCTGCTATCCATTCTGAAGAAGACTCCTGACCTGCCGAGGGAGTGAGTGACCAGGTAGTAAACCCTGCTGAGGGCGGAGGGCATCAGAGGGAGGGAAGAGGGGAGGGAGGACAGCGGTCCCATAGACCGACAACCACCAACTCTCTTTCTTACGAGAGATGCCGTGCATGGTACACAGGGAGGCCAAAGGTCCCCTGTGTCCACAAAGCCTGACAGGAGGCAGTATCTATGCCTGGCCCCAGCACTAGGTGGAGGCACAGGAGGAGGTCATAGCCAGCTCATCCCAAGCCTGGCTCCCTGCCCCATTGAAGGAGAGGTTGAAACAGAAGCTACGTGGTGCCAGTGCCGCCTTCCCAGAAACAAGACCAAGTTTCCTAGCAACAGGCGGAGGGCCAAGCTGCCCACTGGACCCTTGTGGGTCACTGGTGCTCCTAAACTTAAGCTTCTGTTTTTATTCTGGTAGACTGGGTGGTATGGACTTTCCCAGCAGTTTCTTTCAAAAACAAAAGCAAGCTCATGCAGTTACTTGTACTTAAGCCACATTGGTCTTAGGCAGAGCTCATGTTACTGGCTCCTCTGTGCCTTTGGGCACGTCATATAGCGAGTCCTTTCTAAAGCTTCCTCGTGCTCGTTTTCCACCTAGTTCTACCGAGAAGCATCACTGAGCTCCCATGCGGAAGGCTGCTGCTCCCCAATGGTACTCTCCACTTTCTTTCTAGAGGGAACCCAAGAAAAGTGGAATAGACCTCAACTTGTAAAAGAAATTCTGAATCACGATGGCTCTTCTTGGCCACACAAATGTGGCAAAAGTGACTTTCCCAGAACAAAAAAGTCACTGCAAGGGGGCATTATTGAATGACGCAGCCTCCATAAGGTAACAGGAAAATCAGAATGCCCAGGGGCCCTCTGCATCCTGAGCAGGCGCTGGCCCCCAGTGGGTACAGTTCCTATTTGTGTGCCCGGTATGTTCAAAGCTTTTATTGAGATAATGCCTCTTTCACAGAAAAGACTGTGGCATGACTCATAAACAACTGCGTATTAGTTCCTTTTCAAAGAGGAGAAACTTTGTCTTCCTAGTCATTAAAATGTCCATGAAGGGAGAAAATCATGCCAGCTAGGTAAACTTACCCTGTAATCAGTCACATTATCTTTTTCAAGGAATGCAGGGGCAGCTGAGCTCACTCAGCAGCCAGGTACTATAAGATACCATGGGGCCCCATAGCCAGCTCTCTTGCAGCTGGTGACCCGGACCGGAGCATTGCTAGGCTCCGTGTGCTTCTCGGTAGGTCTCTCTGCTATGGTGGCAGATGCTTGCACTGATTTCCTTCTTCATTTGTTCTTTAAATTCCTCATGCTGGAGTACGGCATATAAAAAGCACGGCAAAATTCTTGTGCCGTACTTAAATGTCATGCCTAAAATGACATTGGTCACACTTTTCTAAGAATAACCAGCATTATCCATTGAGCCATTAACAAAGCTTAATTACTTGCTGTAAGTATTTTTTGCTTGTTTGATCACTAAGTCACTAGGTGTTAAGGGAGGTTGTAGATTCTAAGTTACCCATTTGATAGGGGATGGTTAATTGTTACAAAGAATGGCATGTGGAAGGCAGGTTTAAAAATGCATTGATACTGCTTGATTTTTTAAAACTTGTGCTAATATTCTCCTTTGCTCTGTCAAGAATTATCTTATGAGTAGTAGATTTTTAGTACTGGATTTAGATTTTAGTAGTTATATCGGTACTGGATCTGTGCTCAGCCAAACAATGTTTAAATTTTCTGCAGTGGGGAATCATGATAACTGAATATAAATGAATATTGATAATACCTTAGATACAGGTGTAACTGCGATTTCACAGAGAAACATACCATTGCCTTTGAGTAGGAGGCTCTGCTGAGGTACTTTGTCTTATTCAATTATCCCAAAACCCTGAGAAGTGAAATTTACTGCCTTTTTAAAGATCAAGGAGCTGAGGTCCAGAGAGGTTAAACAACTTGCCACAGGTCACACAGCTAATAAATTGTAAACTCAACTTTTAAGCCAGGTTTACCTTTCTCCAGGGTCTGTGTTTCTTACTCTGTCCTGCTGACTTCTGCATCTTTGGATTCAGCCAACCATGGATGGGAAACAGCGGGGCACATGTTCCATCTGTACTGAACATGTACTGACGTCTTGTCATTATTTCCTGAACAAGACAGAGTAACGACCATTACACAGACTTTACATACCTTGAGCAATCTAGAGGTGATCTAAATTATGGGGGAGGACAGTGTAGGTTATATACAAACACTATGTCCTTTTTATGTAAGGGACTTGAGCATCCGTGGATTTTGCTGTCCCCATGTGGGCCTGGGGTCAATCGCCTTCAGAATCCAGGAGGTGACTGTACATTCATACTCATCCCACTTGGTCACCAGCTGTCTGCTTTCTGGAGTTCCACCACACGGACCTGAAATGGAACATATTCCTTTTTCTTCTCCCTAGGTGGTCCCAAGAATCAGGGGATGGATGCCAGTCACATGACCATGACCAGGCCTCCTTTGGTGAAGCACACTGGTGGGCCTGGCCTCAAGACCCACAGACCCCGGGTCATGTCCAAGAGCGGACACAGCAACGTGAGAATTGACAAGGTGGACGGCATCTATTTACTGTACCTGCAAGACCTGTGGACCACAGTCATTGACATGAAGTGGAGATACAAGCTCACCCTCTTTGCCGCCACTTTCGTGATGACCTGGTTCCTCTTTGGGGTGATCTACTATGCCATTGCCTTCATTCATGGGGACCTAGAGCCCAGCGAGCCCATTTCCAATCACACCCCCTGCATCATGAAAGTGGACTCTCTCACGGGAGCCTTTCTCTTTTCCCTGGAATCCCAGACGACCATTGGCTACGGCGTGCGTTCCATCACGGAGGAATGCCCTCATGCCATCTTCCTCTTGGTGGCCCAGCTGGTCATCACAACCTTAATTGAAATCTTCATCACCGGTACCTTCTTGGCCAAAATTGCAAGACCCAAAAAGCGGGCTGAGACCATCAAATTCAGTCACTGTGCGGTCATCACCAAGCAGAACGGAAAACTGTGCCTAGTGATCCAGGTGGCCAACATGAGGAAGAGCCTCTTGATTCAGTGCCAGCTCTCGGGCAAGCTCCTCCAGACCCATGTCACCAAGGAGGGGGAGCGCATCCTCCTTAACCAGGCCACGGTCAAGTTCCACGTGGACTCCTCTTCCGAGAGCCCTTTCCTCATTTTGCCCATGACGTTCTACCATGTGCTGGATGAGACGAGCCCCCTGCGGGACCTCACGCCCCAGAACCTAAAGGAGAAGGAATTTGAACTCGTGGTGCTCCTCAACGCCACTGTGGAATCCACCAGCGCTGTCTGCCAGAGCCGCACATCCTACATCCCAGAGGAAATCTACTGGGGTTTTGAGTTTGTGCCTGTGGTTTCTCTCTCCAAAAATGGAAAGTACGTGGCTGATTTCAGCCAGTTTGAGCAGATCCGAAAGAGCCCAGATTGCACCTTTTACTGTGCAGATTCTGAGAAGCAGAAACTGGAAGAGAAGTACAGGCAGGAGGATCAGAGGGAACGTGAGCTGAGGACCCTTTTGTTACAACAGAGCAACGTGTGATGCCAGAGTGTCTCCTGGCCTCACCTCCAGACCTGTTTCCACCTAGGCATTCCTTTCAGACCCAGGGACAGCTGTGCAAATGAAAACAAGGGCACATATTCACACTCCACGGAGCCTCTTGGGTGTGCCCCTTGGATCACCCCCTCGGATCTGGTGGCTGCACTAGCGTTTCTGTATTTGAGAGGGTTTTTGCAGAATGCTTCCTCCAAAGTGAACTCTCAAACTTCACATTTCCTAAAATGGAGCTGCATTTTGAAGGATAGGATGGAGGGCAAAGGAAAAGATGTCCTGTTGGATGGATGGACATCTAGCAATGCTTTATTGAAGGGAAATGCATTTCCATGCAAGTTATAATGTAAAGTATTTATTTAATCAAAGCACCAAAGACATCACGGTCAAAGGTTGAAATGTGGTTGAGCATTCAGCTGTATTGTTGCCTTAAAACCTCCTCTTTTTGTCTAAACAGGGACTCCTACTCACAAAATATAGTCATTCTATTTTTTACCTTTCTTCAATAGACTGAATTGTATGGAATGACACTGGTCAAATCAGGAATTAACAGCCGTGAGAAAATGTTCCTAACCTGATTCTGTTGTTCCCATTAATTTCTGTTGTCGTTATTGAGATGTATTAGACCTTTTCTGTGAAAAACGGGGTGTACAGATCAGTTATCCAGCACCATGTAGGAGTTTATTAGTAACATAGATGATCAGGTTCCAGGCAAATGTGTAAAACCAGCACTTATATCTTAGCAAGATCCCAGTGATCTCTGGGCAAATGAAAGTTTGAGGAGTTCTGCTCTGGAACTCCTCAAACAGTTTCCAAAGTCACTTCCTGATCCACACAGAAAACTTGCTCTGTGGGTTCCCTGTCCACATGGCCTCCTGGCTTCCCCTGCGTTAGGTTCACTACTGTCACTCAGTATTTCTTCCAGCCATTTCATGTCTTACCTTAAAACCTCACCCACGATGGAACGGCATTGAATTGCCCATTGACATTCTAAAAGCAAGCCAGAGCTCCTGAGAGCAGTGGCCGTCTCCAGCATGCTAAGCACACGCTCAATGGTTCAATGGTTCAATGGTTCAATGGTTCATTATCATCGAAGAGAGTAAACCAGCCTACCCTCAAAAGGAGTCTGCCCAGGTGCTGCCCTTCATAAGGTTGGGTGGTGCCACTGGGAAAGAGAAGGGGCTGAGGGAAAGGAATTCATAACCAAGATGACCCCTTGATGCAGGAACAAAATGTGATAGTCTCAGAGCATGTACAGAATACCCTCAGTATTTAAATACTATCTCACATGTCTCAGTGTTAGAGCTAACATTTTGCCTCTTGCAAAATTCCCTAGTGAGCTGCCCTTTTTGGGGAAGAGAATAAATGGGCTAGGGTTGGCTAAATGCGCATAAACAAATACTTATTTTATTCAAGCCGAGACAGATCGATGTACCCACTGAAGCAGAAAGTCGCCATGACTGAGCAGGCAGTGGGCACACATATACATGTGAGGCTCCCTCATTTACATACACATGCATGCCCTGGTTCTCAAGCATAATCGTGAAAATTATCCATGAAAGTCACTTGCATGAAAGAAGACATCGTATTTGTGTGATACTACACAAATATGAACCCTGGGACTCAGAGAAATGGGAAATAAACTGGATTCAGATTGTTGGCGAAGTGATGGCCTGGGATTATAGCACCTGTGGTAGTATTTGATGTCACCACACTTGCAAATGTGTTTCCCTTACACAGAAATTGTAGAAATAAAGTAGATCGCCTGGAACTGAACTCTTACAATGCACATAGAAGAATAATGGAGGTAAAGTCTATAAGAGCTTAAAAAACAATCAGTTTATGCACGAAAAGGAGGATTTTTGTCTTTATTGTTTTTTTCTATTATTTTTATGGCAGGTTTCTTTCGATCTCCAGTCTTCAAAAATATTACATGTCAGTATAGTTAGATATTAGTCCTGTTAGTCATTATACTTCCTTATTTTTATTGTACCTTGTGGTGTGATTGACAGGAGAACATGGCCACAAGCATGTTTACAGCTTTTCTGTTGCACTATTAATTTTTCACAGTATTTGCATCAATGCTAATTTGAATGTAATCAAAATTAGGAATATTTTGCAACTATAGTGTAAATGGTACAAAATTTAGTGTAAGATTGAGATATCTTTTATATGTTCATCTTGCATATCATTTTTAGCCAGATTTGGAAGACCTGACCATCTGATCTTTTATACCATGCAGTGTCCTGAAAGTCAATAATTGTATAAGTCAATAAATCAGAATTATAACATAATATTCAAGAAGTAGTTCCAAAGTTGTGTCTGGTCTGAAACTTACCATTTTCTAGATACATTTGACTGTTAACTGCTTTGTGCAACATGCTCTCATGTTACTCTGCTAACAAAGGATTTAGGTAGCAGTAAACTTATTAGGTTATATCTGAATAACCTGATTGAAAGACAATCATGCTATATGTCCAACTAAGGAATTGCAAAACTAAGGGAGTCTTTTTTACCCAAAAAGCCTTTTGTATTTTTGAAACATTTCCAATATATTTGGTCTTTTTGGTGAGACTGATCAAAACTATTGTGCTCCATCTGAGAAAACAGAAACTTCAGAGGAGCTAGTGAGTGTGATCTAGAAGTCATGTCTTATTTCAGTAAAATACACAAAACTAATACGGTGCCTTGTAGCCAATAACCCCATATAGCAAAACAAGGATACACTCACTGATCTTCACAATGAGCTGCCTTTGGGTTAGGGAGTGGGAGGCACACTGTATTGATCAGTTTTCCCATTACTGGGACACAATACCCAACACTCACAACTTAAAGGAAAAAGAGGTTTAGTTTGGCTCAAGGCTTCAGAGGTTCTAGTCCATGGTCAGTTGACTTCAAGTCAGGAACATCATTATGGAGGGTGGAGCACAATTGCTCAGTTTGTGGCACCTTGGAAGCACAGCAGTGCTTCAGTGTTTCCCAGCAGTGTCAGAACAGACCCAGGGGCAAGATCTAGCACCCAAAGTCATGCACCCATAACCCACTCAGACCCCCAGAGTGTGCTTTACTTATCTCTTAGGCAGCTGTCAATTTGACAGTCCAGCTTAATGGTCACACACACATTGGTTCCCCTTTTCACTGATAGAGAAATTACAATACAGCATAGATTGTCCAGAAATCTGCAATAACTGATTTATGGTGAAAGATCCCATTAGTCAGTGGGCCAAATAGTTAGATACATTTAAATAACCATTTTGTCTGATTTTTATTGGAACTAAATTTTTACTGTCAGTAGGCTACAATTTTAATATTACTGAAATGTTAATTGAGACATATTTTAGAAGTAGCAGGTCTTCTCCAGGATGATTAAAACACTACTTCTGCTCTAGGCTGAGCCTTCCTTGCTCAGACAATCAGTAAGCATGTAATATCTGAGGCAGGGGGACAAAGCAAAGAAAAGAAAAGGTGAAATGAAAAGAGAAAGCACAAGGCCTTCACACTGGCCTCTCAGGAAAAGGTCACCTGGGCCTTGGGTCTGTACGTCGTCATGGTCAAAGGGTCGGAAATTTGACCTCGTGGTGTGATAAAGACCCTGCCAGCCATGGCTTTCACTCTCACTCAACTTCTCTTGTTACAGCTTTTAAAAATTAGTTTTCAGTGGAAATTGATTTTTCCTAGCTTCCTATAATGTGATTTTTAATAAATGAAAGGTATTGCTATTTCAACTCCTGATTTCCATGTTATATGGGGCGCACTTTTAATCCAGTATTAGATTATTTGACTCTCGATGCGTGTGAGGTACACTGTTTCCTCCCCTAAGAAGTCTTGCACTTGAAGGTCAAGTGGAGCATTTCACTCCTAGCGATCCGTTACATACATCTCCCCAGCATGTGCTGCATTCTATCTTTCATCGAGGGGACCCCCAGTCCAAGCCTGCAGAGCTACAATTTGGAATGAAATGGTATTGCTAAAATTAACCAGAATTTTAAAGGATAAAGGAGTTCTTTACCTTCGTGAGGCACTAACATTTCTCAGTAAGTCTGTTTTTGCTATTGTTTTGCTTACCGTTTGAAGGGGCTCTGAGACAAAGGCCTTTTCTTCAGGGTAAGGAAGGCAGTAAGAAAAGTCTAAGAAACACAAGCTAATCTTGGATCACCTAGATGTTCATGTGAAGGGATTTCTCCCATAGGAAAAGAACTTCAGGGGAAAAACTTGGTTATTCGATCTTACAGTACAACAAACTGTCATTATATTCTTCAGGCGTCCCAGGAGAAGCAATTTTCCTAGCCTTTTAAGAAACATGGGTAGGTTAAATCCAATTTTTTTCCCCAAAATTTTCCACTAAATACTTAATGGAAAAAAGAAGTGTGAGGCAAAAACAAAGCTCCAGCCATTCCCTCCATCCCCATCCTGCCTGGCCCCCCGGCGCACTCCACTTCCTTCCCCTTAACTTGTGCTCGACTTTGCTATCTATTCTGCCACGCTGAATCATCTGATGAGCTAAAACATACCCCATCCGAATTAGAAGCTGTGGACACTTGGATATCAAAAAATTGATGACAGGAATTTTTTTTCAGTTGGTATTCCCAGAGTGTGTCGCAATAGGAGAAAGAAGGAAGGCAGTTGAGCGGAGTTGATGGGTGACTGATAATGAAATCATAAGAACAGGCTGTGAAAGCCAGAGGACATACATGACACATGAGAAGAAAAGCCAAGGATGTCACCATGTGTAGCAGGAGGCCATGCCATACCAGTGGCTAACCCAGAGAGTGGGGGATGATGCCAGGCTCCCTGCTCATGCAGGACATGTCCCCTGTTTAGTAGCCTGTGTCCTGTGTCCCACATAGACTTACTAAAATGAATACTCTGAGGGACTGGGGATTTAGCTCAGCGGCACAGCGCCTGCCTGGCAAGCGCAATGTTGTGAGTTCAATTCCTGGTACCGGAAAAAAAACAAAAAAAATTAAAAAATAAAAAAATGAATACTCTGAATTTCCTGTAGTTGACCTCTTTCAATGCATTATAAATCTGCTGAGGCAATTATAAAAATCTTCAAATTCAATCAGAAGTCTTATGTATTTATTTGCCAAAAATGGCACACTGAGGGAGAGTAATCACATAATCCCAAATTATGCTTATCTGTAGAAATGCACTCCCCTTTACCTGGGGGTTATGGAATTCATACAGCAAGTAGCAGAGAAAAAGGTCTACTACAAAAAAACCCCATTTCCTGGATTTGTTCAGCTGGCAGAAGTAAACATCAGCCTGACGCAGGAGCAGTGTATGACTCCTCACAGGTAGGCCCAAATGCTGTTTGATCTTGGCTGGCTGGACAGGGGCACCCTCAACCATGGGGTCCAAGTTACCCTCCTCACAGTGTGTGGGAGCTCAGGATCTTGAGCCCCAGCTTTGTAATGAGGCTAATGGTTTTGTTTTCCTCACCAGCATAGAGGGACAAAATCAAGGAATACTAAGTCTAAAAGTCCACCTCTCATTTTCTTTGTTTAGCAACTCACAACACATGATGTAGCCTTTAGCTGTGATTCTATGTTAGTGCAAGGGCAAATCTTATCTAGTATCTTATCTTAGCATACCTAATTTCACTCTTCAGAAACATTCAAGACACTAAAACGGAGGATCTCCTCAAAATTAGGCTCCGTGACAACTCTTACCATTGGTGATAGAGCCAGTATTCCCCCCAAAATCAAAGAAAAACCAGTTGTTGACTCTGAGCTAAGAAATGTGTGGCCACTGAGTTTATTATTCCTAGTATTGTTATTCTTACGAATGTACTTCGTATTAGGAAAAAGAGCTTCCAAGAAAGTGATGAGAAGAAAGTTCAAAGAAAAGGATTTTTTTCCTTTGCTGCCGGTTAACTCTATTCTTTCATCCGCAATCACGTCTTAGGTGTAAGGATGTTGTATTAAACCAAATTGTTACAGGAAGTATGACTGTGTCAGGGACTTTTTACACAAACAAGCCTGCCAGTCACAAAGGGAAGCTGAGCTTGTGTGCTGACACGCGTATCCAATGGCAGGCAGGAGGAAGGCAGGACAGCAGCCAGCTCGGATCTATTTTTGAGGAATTATTTCTGTAGGGTGTCATGGAATTGTAAGTTACAAAAAGAAAGCTTTGGAAAACAGAATCTCTGTTCCAAAAGGGCCTTCTCCAAGATACTACTTAATGAAATTCACAGGAATGTAATGGAAATGGAAAGCCCAAATGACATGCAGCTTTTGTAGACAAGTGACCTTCTGGCAGTGTGTGCCTACCAAAACCTTGGTCAGGATTCAAGGTCTTCCTCTGTGTACAGCTACATCTGACTTCCACACCGTGCCCCAAGACAAATTTCCCCACTTTGCTCTGATTTTTAAACTAGCTTTGGGCTTGGAGTTGCCTTAGCACAGTACTGATCTGTGTTTCTCAAGGGAATCTGCTATTTGGTGCACACTGGAAATCCCAGCCCGCTGAGTGGTGACAGGTTATGTGTACACCTGTTACCACTGAGCTCAACCACACCACGACCCATCAGCTCTAAATGTGTACTTTGCTATTTTAAGCGTTCACACCTCTATTTGTCAAATCACTTCTTATGTTTACATGTATCTCCATCGCTTTTCTTTTTTGGCATATGGGATCACTGTAACCCGTGGAACAATAGCAAAAGCAATAAAGCTCATTTCATGGCACTGAGTTTTCTTTTCATTTTACTGGAATTGTAAGAGGGCGTGTCTGAGTCAGCTTCCCCACTGTTGGGACAAAATACCTGACATGCACAAATTAAAGGTTTTATTTTTAGCTTACAGTTGGAGAGGTATCGTGCCATGGTCTGCTGGCTCCAATACAGAAAAATCATAGCAGCAGGACACGGAGGAGAAAAGTTGTTCGACTCATGGTGTCGGAGAAGCAAAGCAGGGGCAAAGGCCTAGTGGAAGGAACCATGGACCCAACACAGTCACCAAGGTCCTGCCCCTACAATCCACTTCCTGTCACTATTCCCCACCTCCGGATAGTCCCTTTGGCTCTGCACTCATGAATGGATTAGCCCATCAGTGAGGTTAATTTGTCACCTAATCACCTCTACAGGACTCTCTTCACCCAATCAAATTGACAATTACCAATAACCAGCACAATATGATGCAAGTGCTCCAGTGAAGAGAGATCTAATATATTCCCATACATCTCAGGGATAAACCATTTTGAAATAATCCTCTCTAATGAGGACACTGTAATATACCAGTGTCTAAAGCAATACACCTGCTTCCTTTTTAATCACAGAACAGAAAATGAAATCTCTGTCTCATCTTTTTTTTCCCCTAATGCTCTCAGGTACCAGAATAATGGCCTCATTTTATTCAGTGCTTAAAGATCAAATCACAATGTTACAACATCTTTCTGGTGTGGAATCTTTTCCCCGAAGTCCATTAATTTCCACAGCTCTTTTACTTTGATGGACTAAAGGAAAGAAAGTACTTTATGGTATAAGTCCTAGAAGCATAGATATGAGGATGGTAATAAATAAGCAGACCTATTTAAAACCCACATAACAGAGATATGCATCCCGGAAACAGACAGCTGTTACCCCCCGGCAGTCTCCTGGGGAAACCACACACACACACACACACACGCACACACACACACACACAAGAAGTGGTTGCCACAGCTCCAAAAATTCTACAAGTGATCTTTTTGGAATCTTCTCTTTTAGAGGCTTGGCTAATTCATCATCACAGTCTCTGACATAGCAAGGCTCTGCTCTTTGAGTGAATTTAAAACTGTTGGAAATAAATATGGCTGGTGCAGCTAGTAATAGGTCACATCTGAAGATATTGTTTGAGCAAACAAAAGCAAAAGCAAACATTAAAAGCATAAATATTTTTTAAAAGTGTGCCTTATTCTGGAACACAGTAATGCTAATCTGTGGGACACATTTTATTAATTTGCACTTGCACAGAATTTCTCAGACATAAATTATTTTTCATTCCATTATCTCAAGCGTCACTTGCCCTGGGGGTGATCTGGGCTGACATCTCAGTGGTCCACGTCCAAAACAACACAGTATTGCCATTACTACTCCAGAGCCTGGGGGCAGGAATGAGGGAATTTCTAAAAGCATGTTGGGAATCAATATGCCATTGATTCTAGGGAAAACACCCAGTGTTACAGTTTCTATCTAGATATCCCTCTAAAGCCTCATGGGACCATAGGTGGGACCTTTGGAAGGTGATTGGATTCCAGCTGACTCGCTGGAAGAGTTATTGTGGGTATGACTTGGAAGGTTATATCTCATTTCTCAGCTCCTCCCTTCAATCTCCCTGCTTCTTGTCCCCCGTGCTGAGAGCAACTCTCCTCCACCAGGTCCCTCTGCCATGCCATCCTGCCTTGGAGCCAGCTGACCATGCACTGACCCTTCTACACACCCTGTGAACCTCTTCTTTAAGTTGTAAGTACCAAGTATTGTGTCCCAGCAATAAGAAACCGACACGGCATCTGGGAAACCACAGCATTCCTTCTCAGAAATCCATGGTTTGGGGCACCTGCTTGCAAAGATCATAAACAAACAAGTTTAATGGTTTAATTTTCTGTAGACAAGTCCGTATTCTTCCAAGAAATGCTTATCCTGTACAAAGCACTCATTTCTAAAGTAGTCAGTTCCTTTCTTGAATTTATCACTGTGTCATATTCCTTAGTGTGTATCACGTGAACAACTCAGTGTGTTTCCACCAGTTCTAAGGGCTGTGTTCTGCATCTTTCTTTCTTTGCTGCTATTGAGTCAGTCAGGAACTCTTGCTGTTATTGAAAGATTTTATTCATGTTTATTTATTTTTATTCATTTTCTAGTTAAGTTTGCTATTTTTAATTGGCAGCTAATAATGGTATATGTGTAGGACACAATGGATGTTTTTCATATATTTCATATAATGATTCTGTTAAGCTAGTTAATCTAGGCATAACTTCACTCACTTACTGTTTGATAGGGAAACATTGAAATTCTACTCTTAGAAATCTGACTTGCTCTGGACTATACATTTTCTATAAACTCCATTTAACATGCCCAGTGTTGAGTTAAGAATCTGCCATAAATTTACTACAGAAAAACAGACCCACAGCTTTACATCCACCCAGAACAATGTGTTCTGCTCCTTAACCTGCTCTGATCATGAGTCTGGATGACTGCTAGTAGCTGGAAAGTATTACAGTGTGTTCTGTTGCAGCATGCCTGTCCTGCTCACGTAAGAGATACACACACACACACACACACACACACACACACACACACACACTCATATATACATCTTACAACATCTGGTCACACCTTGGTCATGCTGAAAGCAAATAATACACACTAGAGGTTCTGAATGCTTAAAGGAACATCAAACATTCACTAGTGCATTTTATGCCCCTTAAAAGAGGTAGGACAAGTCAGTATTTACACATTATAGATGATCCCACAGCCCATTGAAATTTTAGTTGTCCAGTGACTCAGCAAGCCAAGGCAGCCACCTGGGTCTTTTCCTTCTAGCCTACTACTCCTTCTTCTAAATTTACAGCAGGAAAATCTCACTGTGGAGCAAATTTCCATGTGAGTAGGTCAAAGTCAAGGCTAGCAGGATGACCGAATGGAGACCCCAGGAAAAGTGTGAGGCTGGAACACAGATAGCGTACCTGCAGGTCAAGCATGTGTCAAGTGCTTGTTATTTAGAGGCTGAGAACGTGGGTAAGAGTCCAGAAGTATAGATGTTAAGTGATCAGTTCAAAAAGTAAGAGAAGTATGAATACCATTCACCAAGATGGAAACAATCCCCAAGTGTTAACCTAAGGAGTGAAAAACAGCTGGACAAAGACTAGATATAGGATAAACAGGGTTTAGAAATCCTAGAGGAAAATGGTAGTGACCAAATTTATGCACCTAGTTTGGTTCAAAAGTCGTATCATTCATTACAACTGCATCACATCCCCTCCAAATAAGAAGACATTGTTAGCATCCCTGTTTTACAGGGGGAGAGACTGAAGTTTGTCCAGAGCTGGTTATCCAGCAAGAATGAAAGCCAGGACTGGCTGACACAGAAGCTTGTCTTCTTCGCTCTGCTCTGTCTTGTTCCCAGATGGACCATAACAGGATACATCCAAAAATCCTGGGGGACTTGGTGGTTGATTGCTCTTGGAGAAAAGCAACATTTGCTAAACACTCAAGTGTTTTGATCAAGCAAAAACAAAGCCATGGTTGAGTGGCTGTATCATCACAAAGCTGACCTGTGGGTGTTGAATTAATACTAAAGCTCAGCAGTGCAAATAAGCAGAGGTTTTGCTAGAGTGCTGCCAGCTGAGGACGGAGTGGGTAAGCTTCCAAATGGCTGTTCTGCTCAACCCTGAAAACCTGATTTGTAAGGATTTATCCTCAACTCCTTGGAGAAAGTCTAAGATAGGTATTCAGCTCCAGGTCTTGGCTGATTAAACTGAGAGACAAAGAGAGCTTTGTAGACAAGAAAAGCCTGCAGAATTGGCAGAGCCTGTTGCAATCTCACGTTGAATTTATGGGCTTAATCGGGGAAGGAAAGAGAATTGCTCCACTACATGCAATCCCTGCTATGACAATGACCATGGTGAGGGCAGGACTGGTCAGGACCCAGAGATTGAGAAGAACTACAAGATGAGAGAGCAAGGGAGATCTTAGAAGAAGGATGTTCTGGTAAATAGGTCTCAGCATTAGGGAAGATCTGTCTACAAAACTCTCCATTTCCTGTGCAGTGTGTTGATCAGCTTTCTATTGCTATAACAAAAAACTTGAGTCTCCCAACTTATAAGGAGACAAGGTTTATCTTGGCTCACAGTGTTGGAGGTTCCATTCCGTGGAGGTTGGCCTAGTGCCCTGGTGCCTATGGTCAGGCAGCACATCAATGCAGGAGCATATGAGAAACAAAACCACTAACCTCAGAGGCATGAAGCAAAAGAGAAAGAGCAAGGATCCAGGGTCCCATAGTCCCCTTCAAGGGCATGTCCCTCAGTGACCTAAGGATCTCCCACAGGGCCCACATCCTGAAGGATTTATCATCTCTCAAACATGCCACCCTTTAACACATGGAAGCATTCAAGTTCCAAACCATAGCAGGAAGATAAAGAATAGGGAGGCAACTAGAGAAACTAAAAGTGATTCTCCAGCAATGAATGGAGATCAAGGGGTAAAGCTTCACAAACTTCATATCATTCCAAATCAGAAGCAGGATGAATGCAAGAATCCTATTTCCAGGGCAAATGATGAAGGCTAGGACCCAGGCAGCAAGGTCCTGGCCAAGTTAGGCAAGGAATTGGATAAAATGCTGGGACTTCTTCCTTCAAAGGAAGGACTTGTGGAGAGCTGGTATTGAAAAATGTAGACCTAGTACTAAAAAATGTAAACCCAGTACTGAAAAATGTAGACCCAGTGCTGAAAAATATAGACCCAGTAAAGAGCCAGTGTCCCATAGCATCTTCCTGTCTGCTCAGCAGGTATCGGAGCTGAACCCAGAGCTTCTCTCTGTGCTTCCCAGGGTGAAGGCTGAGCCCGGGGTAAGCACAGCACTGTGGGCATGTGTGTGCATTTCACCATCAGACACAGTGGCTCCTTGCTTCGCTTATTATTCACCCAGGCAAACTGGACACTTTGGCAGTCTCTTGATTTCCAAAACAGGTCCTTAACCTGTGGTGGGCT